CTGTGGGCCCTCTGCATTAGCAAAAAAGGGGAAGGACACACGAAAACGCTTTGGGCTGGGGAAATGTCACAAGTCAAAACAGGCATAAGCATGAATATGACACATGTAGGGAGCCACGAAGAGAGAGACCTGGCTAGAGTGAAGGGCTCCTGTTGGGGTGTCGTGGGACATAAACCCCGAAAGGGAAGTTGGGCATAAGTTTTGGATGATATCCAAAGGAGCTCTGACTTAGCCTGACAAATTATCCCTTTTCTAAAAGCACCAGATTTGACCAAAGAGGTGGTGAAATACCAGTGTATATTGAAGAGGAAGGCTCAGATACACATCCTTAAGCCAGAAGGGGGAAGCGTGGTGGGTAATGTCTGGAGGAGAGGCGGCACGGGGTGGTGGACAGGACACTGGACTTAGAATGAGGAAAGCCTGAGTTCAAAGCCTGGGCAAGGCATCTAGCCTCTTGATGTCTCAACTTCCTCATGGGTAAAATGAGGGGGCTGGACTCAGTGGTCTCTAAGGTCTCTTCTAACTCTGAATCTGTGATCCCTATGAGGGACAGATGAGGCGTATGGTACTAGAGTAAACTAGAGCCCACCTGGCCAGAAGGAGGAATTGGATGATGAGTTGGGGCTTGGGTTATTTGAATATTGACTCCTGTTTTTTCTGTGCTAAGAGACTCTCAAAGACTCTTCTCTGGGCTGGAGCTGTGAATTGAGAGAAGGAATGAGAAGCTGTGGTGCCTGTGGAGATGACCATGGTCTGATGGATTACTGAAAGACCTTCTCTTCCCCTCTAGGGATTGGCTGGTTGGGTAGTGCCTAAGGAAACAACAGCATTCATGCCAGATTTTCTGTGGCCTTTGGTCCAAGGGTGTGTGCAAAGGGTTTTTGGTGTGCAAATTTGGAAGTTGATCTATACTTTGGGATTGGATTACTCTGATATTTGAATATGCTGGAACATCATGGGATTCACCACTTTTGAAATTCTTCCCTTTGCGGAAGGAGTCAATAAATAGCAAAACAAATAATTACCAGGGAATGGTGGCAGCTTCCTTCCTCACAACTCCATTCAAAGACACATCCACACATTCACCATGGGTAGATCTGGTGGGGAACTAGGGATGGTAGAATGGTAAGCCTACAAGGCCAGGTGGGCAACTCCCCCATCATGGGGGTGGACTGTGATGATAGAGTGGGAGATCCTTGTGAGTAAGGATTATTTCATCTATAGTATAGTAACCCCAGCCCTAGCATATAGTGTTTAATAACTGTTCATTGATTGGTTATTGGGAATGGGGGATATCTTGGGGTAGAAAATTCCTTTGGGGTCCATGAGAGAGCTCATTCTACATGTTTAGATGGGATCCATTCATCAACTAACAAGCATTTATTAAGTACCAACTATGGACCAGGCACTGTGCAAGGCAACGAATAAAACATTTCCAACTCACAAGGAACTTACTTGGGGAAAGCACCATCTTTGGAGTCAGAGGTGAAGGGATTGCATCCCTCCAGTGATGTGTCTGACCTGTGTGACCCCCAGCAAGACATTTACCCTTCCTAGGCTTCAGAATCAGTAACTGCTTCTCATTTCTATAGTTATGGAATCTTGCAAGTGACTAAGAAATTGGTATAAACGTGTCAGCTCTAACCTAGCCTTGAGCCTGATCCTGGCGACTCAGGTGAGGGAGGAGTCACACTGAGGTGGCACGGATAGCAGGATCTCCTCTCCAACGATCCAGAAACCTGCTTGACTCTTTCAGGGTGATAGGGGCAGGGTGAGGGGAGCAGATGTGCAGGCTGAGGCTCTAGCTGTGAGGAAGGGGCTTTGCTGCCTTTCTTTGGAGGTCAAAGTGCTGACCAAGTGTTTCCTGGATCAGATGCTCTATGCCCAGCGCATGCCTAAAATGGAAAAGGGGCCATAGCTCCTTCTTAAAATATCTCAGCTTGAGGATATTTTGGTCTCATCCAGGGTTCAGAGGGCAGATGGAAATTTCTTGACTCAGAGTGTCTGGGGACATATTAGGGGATTGGTGCCAGGAAGGGGATAGAACCATGGAGTTCGGCTCCCTGGTGATCAGATATCAAACAGAGCCGCCGATGTGATGTCAGCACCGGGGCCAAGGAAACTAGGTGGGACCTTGATTAGCAGTCACATTCCAAACAGCATGGATGGGCAGCTGGCCTTATCAGGCAAGGGCTGGCTCACTACACACAAGGGGTCAAGGCTTCAGCAAAACTAAGAAGGCACCAGTGTTCCTTGTTAGAATACCCTCTTTGCCATTCTTCATTTCTTTCCCCCTCCATGTTGCCCTCAACCTTCGTAATTCTTGCTAAATTAATTGATGCTGAGATGATGGAGTGACTTAGCCCTCCCAGGGAGGTTTGTACCATGAAAAAGGAGTCCAGAATGGACAGTAATGAATAATGAAGGACAAATCAAAGAAGGCAGCTTTGATTTAGTGGAAAGAGCCTATTTCCCCTTTTGGGGCCTCAACTTTCTCATTTGTAAAATAGGTGGTAGTAGGATACAAGTAGAAAGGGCTCTGACTTTGGAATCAGAGGCTCTGGGTTCAAATCTTCCCTCTGATGCTTTCTGCCTTTGCTCCCCTGGGCCTCATTGTCCTCTTCTGTAAAATGGAACAGAGTTGAATGTAGTGGCCTCTGGGGGCCCTCCCTGCTCCAGATATAGGAGCCTCTGGCCTTTGATCTACCTTGGCAGGTAGTGAGCTCCCCATTGCTAGCAGAGCTCAAGCAAAAGTTGCACGAGTACTGGTGGAGAGCATGACAGAAGCTTCTGGAAGGGCTTAGACTGGATGACTTTGATCTGAGAAGCTTATCCCCCCACCCCTCCCAACTCTATGATTCTAATCTCCGTAACAGTGACATGGGGGTGAAAGAGATATTTTAAGACAAACTCCAGATTGTACCATGGGCCAGCTCTGCTCTGACCAGGAACTGCTTCCCTTTTCAACCAAGTCTCTCTCTCTCTCTCTCTCTCTCTCTCTCTCTCTCTCTTCTCTCTCTCTCTCTCTCTCTGTCTCTCTCTCTCTCTCTGTCTGTCTGTCTCTCTCTCTCTGTCTCTGTCTCTCTCTGTCTCTCTCTCTGTCTCTCTCTCTCTCTCTCTCTGTCTCTCTCTCTCTCTCTCTCTCTCTCTCTCCTCTCTCTCTCTCTCTCTCTCTCTCTCTCTCCTGGCCTAGCCCATTGTCCCCATTGCCAAGATAGGAATGCAAGAAATATCCATGGAGTCTGGACAGAGGAGGCCTTACAAGCCCCCTTCCCCAAGTCTTCCCCCTCTTCTCTAGCTTTAAGATTCATCCCCATCCTAGCCCCCTCCCAGCCACAGCCATCTGAAGACACTAAGGAGTGGAAAGAGTACTGGATTTGAAGCCAGGGGACCTGGGTTCAAATCTCACTTCAGCTCCTGAGCACCTGTGTGATCCTGAAGTTATAGTGTCTCCAGGCCTCAGTTTTCTTATCTGTAAGATGAAAAGGTAGGACTAGACGATCTGCAAAGTCCTTCTGGCTCTCGGTCCTATCCACATAGAAAGATCCTTCCCAGGTCAGAAAGGGACCTCATCCACTGTGTGACCACAGGTGGCAGAGGAGGGGGAGGGGAGGGAGCCAAGCTTACCTGAGAAGACAGCAAGTCCCGAAGAGCCCTTCACATACTCAATGCATCCCTTGTGTTTCTGGAGGGACTTCTGACTTTGATTAAATGTCTTCTGTTTTGAACTAATGTGTCCTCCAGGTGATTAACTTTGAAAAGTCAGTTCATCAGTTGGAACCTCAAACTGTGGCTCTGAGTGGGTCCTGCCCCACAGAGCGCCTCAAACCCGAGGTGGGGAGAGGGGAAGCAGGAGGAGGGGAGGCAGCTTTTGGGGGCGCATTTATTGGCCCAGAGGCCTCAGGTCTGAGGAGTGAGGTTAGTGAGGTAGAGACAGACTGCTGGGGTGACCTCTCCTGGTCCTACTGTTTGCCCAGCCTCTGTTTGGGGAGGAAAGACAGTGACGCTGGGAGGGAGGGGGTTGGGGAACTCCTCCAGGATGCAGGATGGGACCAAGAAGCCCACCGTATGGTAACTTCCCATTTTAACTCATTATTCTTGCTAAACAGGCACTAGGCCCAGCGATTTCTACCTTCTAACTGGAATATGGGTCCTGGTGCCTTAGGGAAAAGCCTAGCTATCCTTGCCCTAGTTAGGGTTCTGGACCTGGGGTCAAATCCCACCTCTTATCAGCTCTATGGCAAAGGCCTAGTCACTCAGCCTCTCAGAAACTCAGTTTCCTCACCTGGAAAGTGGGCCTCATATTTGTCATACCAGCCTTGCAGGGTTGTTGTGAGGACAGACATCTAATGAGATAATGTCTGTAAAGTTGGATGTAAACTAAGTGCTATAGAGATGTGAGTGGTCTATAGCTCCCATGGCTTCCTCTGAGATCTTGGATGCTCAGGGTGGGGAACCTCCCTTGTTGAAACATCTCTGGAACGGCCTTCTAAAGGTCTTACAGGTATGGGGATGGGGTAGAGGTGGGGTATTTGATCTATCTAGATAGATATTAAATAGACCAAGCAGATATTCCTTCCCCTCACCTCATGACCCTGGGCCCAGTGAAGGCCTATGAGAGCTGGCCTAGGTTCCCTGCTAGCCACCCCCCCCCAAACCCCACCCCAGAGTTGTCGATCCTTCTTTGTCCAGCGGACTAAGCGATAGGGCTTTCTCTAGGGATAAGCGGGACAGGACTATTTGAAGAGGGAGAGATGAAGACTCTGTCCTCACACGTCACAATGTCTCCGGCCCCTAGACCAATTTTCCATCGACACTCAGGAATAAAACCTGAGGGTCTAGTACCAGCCAAGGCCTAGAATCATGCTTGGCTTCTGGGCCTCATTCTGAAGCTCCCTGGGGTTTCTGGACTCAGTCTCTCTCTGTTGCAGTGATCATTCCACAATTGACTTAGATCCTACTCTGATTTCTCTGTTTCTTCTGTCTATTCTTTTTCCCAGGTTATAGTCAACTCTCCTGCCAAGTTAGTATCTAATTGAAGTGTGTGTATACGAAAGCATGTGTACATATGGCTCTGTGCACGTGAAAACCTGTGTATATACATCGGTGGTATTTGCATGTCTCTATGTGACAAAATTGTTCAAGAATATGTACCCATGTGTGGGCAAACATGCGTTTGTGTAACTGTGTGTGTACTGCATACACAGTACAGGCACACAAATAGACACAAACACATGTATATGCATACTCACATGGAAACACACATGTCCATGTATGCATATATACTATGACCTATCCATACACACGTGTACATATTCTCAGTTATACATTTATAGACACACTCACATAATGTGTACATTTCTCTTTACTCACATAGACATATACACACCACACAAATAGATACGCACTCACTTTCACATATGTATATATATATATATGATTTACATTTAAAGCATTCATAGGCTCTCATGCATACACATACACATATACTATGCACTTTTTAAACACAGGCATACCTGCCTTCATACACACACATATTCCCATTCACTCTCCTGTATATACATATACATATTCTTAGACACGTGTGAATGTATTTCTACGTGTGATAGGAAAGGTGTGAGTCACAGTGTTCTGTGTGGAGTAGGAGGGTGGCTCGCATGGGACTGTGTTTCTTGCCATGTTTCTGCCATGCCCAGCTGGCTTCAAGAGTGGGCTGCTGTCCATATCACTGAACATGTCATTGGCTATCTTTGTTGGGTCCCTCTCCCCTCTCCCCAAAGGGGCTCCATCTTCCCTTAGCCCCTCACCTAAATTTCCTCTTCTCAGAGTCAGGCCTTCTTTCTTCTGGCTTCTTGAAGTCAGACCAGCTCACTCATTCCAGAAATCCTGTCCCTTTCATGGATTCTTGGCCAAGTTGTACTGCATTTACCCAAATGTCTGCCTCCCACAAAGTCAGCTATCCCCAGGTACATGACCTTCAAACATCAGAGTCTGGGCTCCTGGGGGAGGAGCTCCAGGTACAAGCCACCCTTATGGAGCACATAGGTCATCCCCAGACCACAAACCAGGGAACCACACTGGGCCTTCTGGAGAATAAAAGCCAGGGGATCTGGCCTTTGTGAAAGTGGGGCTGGACTCAGCTGCTTGCTGCCTGCTACATGAATAGGGGCTTTGCTCTGATTTGGACAGAGGGTCCCTGCCTGAGAAACAAGAAAGGTCTCCAGAAGGAGCCAAGAGAAATACAACAAACCCCTCCCTGAAGTTCATGGCTAAACTATTGCACCGTCAAGAGACTCTCAGATGGCAGAGAATGCTGAGGGACTGAAGATCAGGGCCACTCCCACTGAGGAGAGTGGAACCCCCATTTCTCCAATGCAGGACATGGCAGGGATGCTCTTTGCTTCTGGGCCTTGGATGGCATGGATTGGGCTGAGTCTGTCTGCTCTTCTGTCTGTCTGTCTGTCACTCCATGAGGGGTCCTTGTTCTCTTCCTCATTCTGCCCCATCCCTGATGCCAGGTCTGTGCAAAGTGAGATATCTGACAGAGCCCTACGGGCATAGGAACTCTATGGGCACTCCCAGCTTCCCTGGGCTTGTCACACGAGGCAGTCCAGTTCATTCTAGGACAATGAGGGAGGCCCTTGGGAGTTATTGGCATTCCAGGCTTCCTTCCACTGGAATCAAGCTAAGAAGGCCTGTGACAGCCATGGCAGTCACCTTTTTCCTAGGCAAGTCTAACCCCAAGGTAGAGCCAACTCAATGCAATTGAATTCACAAGCATTTCTTAAATGCCTACTGTGTGTCAGGCACCATGGCAGGAGCTGGACATACATTCTATTAAGATGCCCTCACTCTGCTGTGAGAAGTTGGGCAGCCTCTCCCCTCCCCCCTTCCTCAGTCTGACCCTGTTCTATGATCCAGCCTGCTTAGTTGACCCATTATCACTTAGTCCAGGTGCCTTTGCTTTGTAAGATATCTCTCGTCAGCTGGCTCAGTACCCTTTCTTTGATTTTCTATCTAATGCTAGATCCTCTGTCCTTCCTTGTTTTCTTATTTCCTCCTTCCTTTCTTCTTTGCCTCCTGTTCTCTGCCTACCTCCCACCCCCTTTGTCACTCCCTACCCCTGTGTTCTCTCCTCCCTTCTCCTACCCCCAGCGCGGACTACCAGGAACGCTTCAATCCCAATGCCTTGAAGGACTCTGCCCTGTCAACTCACAAGCCCATCGAGGTGAAAGGGCTTGGGGGCAAGGCCACCATCATCCATGCCCAGTACAACACGCCCATCAGCATGTACTCACAGGATGCCATCATGGATGCCATCGCTGGCCAGGCCCAAGCTCAGGGCAGCGAGTTCAGCGGGTAAGATCCTGATCCCCAGGCTGTGCCTGTGCCTGGGTGGGGGCACCTGTCCCCTTTCCTGGCCTAAGATCCTCCTACTGCACCTTTTCTGGAACAGGCCTCAAAGACCTTGTGCCTGAAGGCACTGGAAGGGCCCTCTGAGGCTACATATCATCTTATAGGTGAGGAAACAGACCCAGGAAGGTTAAGTCATTTGAGCAAGGTCACATCTGTTTCTAGTAAAGTCAGGGGGAGCTACAGAATTCACACTCAGGAAACATGCCTGGCAAAGGGGACACAGGAAGGAACACAAGTGGGTCAGCACAATATGCTTAAAAATACAGGACAACCACAGAGGCCAGATTAAAGGAACCAGTTGCAAGCCCAAATACCACTGGGGCAATGTTGTCTTGACCTTTTCATCCATGCCACAAACAGCATCTTACTACAGAACCAGCGATCACCAATGTGATCTACCTTCTGACAGATGGTCCCTTCAATTACCTCTCTGTCCAGAAAGGGCAAACCAGCACTGTTAGGTCAGGGTGAGCTTGTGTCCCTCCTAGGTGGCAATTAGAACAAGAATGTTTGCAATTCTTAGAGTCACCCGGTAATATATGTTCTTGGCCTCAGGCCCTCTCTTCCTTGTCTTCCATTCAAGAGTTCTATCTGAAAGCCCTGCTTTAGTGTCCAAGGGCTTTGGTAGACTGTGGGCTCAGAATTTTTTAGTCTCCTCACATGACTTCCTGGCTTTGCCCTCCTCTCATTGGGCCCCAGGACCATCCAGAACAAATCTGTCCTTTCTCCGGATGTCTCAGTAGCAAGTGTCAGCAGACAGGAGAAAAAAGAGAAGGGGGGGGGAGTTAACCGGAAGTCTTCTTGGAAATCTCTTGGGGTCACTGGGCTGTCTTATCATTCATGACTTTTCATAGTCCTTGGTTTTTCCTAGGTAGGTTGTTTAAAAATTCCAGGGAATACTGTCTTAGAAAGCAAAGGAGAAACCATTTGGTTTCCTTCTAACAGGGAAAGGGGATATATTTGGGGTACTCCAAAGTAGCTCACAGCTTGATTAGTGTCAATCCCAAACTCCTAAGAGGCAAGACCAGCTTGCTAGGATGCTGATTCCAAATATTCTCTTGAAACTCTGAATGCTTTCTTAGAGAAGGACAAATCCCAATAGGTTTTTAATTTGGAGGAGGAGGTGGGAATGGAGGGAGCTAGACCATCTCATAGACCTTGTGGAGAACTCTCCTTTCTCTGTGGGACTTGGGCAAGGCCTAAGCCACAGTTTTCTCCTTCTTTTCCTTTCTCTTATTTACTCTGATTTTTTTATACACTTGAGATGGAAAGTAACCTGTGGGAACAGTGCACTGAGCTATGAGCTTTTGTGTGGGGGCTTCCCCAATGTGGTCAGTGTGGATTACTCTCCAGTGGTGGTGGCCACTACGTGGGACTGCTATGCCCATGTACCCGTGTTGCGCTGGGAAACAATGGATGCCCGAGCCCTCAGTTTCCCCAATAGCGCCTTTGACGTGGTGCTAGAAAAGGGTACCCTGGATGCTGTGCTGGCTGGGGAATGAGACCCCTGGACGGTGTCCCCTGAGGGTATTCAGACTGTGGATGAAGTTCTCAGTGAGGTGAGATTAGGTAGAGGTAGTGAGTGCTGGTCTAACAGGGATTGGGGTAGAGTGGGAAGGGGAATAGGATAAGGCTGGGAAGGGGAAAAGGGCACTGGCTAAGGAACCAGCGTGCCTGGATTCTGGTTTCACCCTCCTGTTGAACAGCTGTGAAACCTTAAGACAGTCTCTTCCCTTTTCTGGGTCTCAGTGTCCTCATCTGTAAAATGGGGAAGTAGGACGTGATGACCTTGGAGGTCCCTCAGCATCCCAAGGCAGGGAAAAAAAAGAGGATTAGAGAGAGGTTGGAGCCCAACAGGTCGGTTCTGTAAAAGTCAGACTTATGGGGGCCTCAGTGGTCCTGATAGCCAGAACAGTTTGGGGCTGGTGAGTGGCTAACTTGGGAGCCAGGCCTGTCACCGTCATTCCTCCCACCCAACTTCTCTGCCCTCAGAGAAACTCTTCGGTGAGAGACTGGGGTGATGGGAAATTGTGCAGGGCAGTTGGGAGGGAAGAGGTCTCTACCTCATTGGGTTAAGATCAAGAGTAGGAAGGCAGCTCAGAAAACAGAGGACAGAGCAGGTGCTTTCTGCTGTGAGAGGATTCCTTCTTTGGGCAGGACTGATCACCCAAGTGGCTGTCTGTCTTGAAGAACAGACTCAATAGCAGTAGGCTGGTGGTGCAACAATTAATGGTGCAACAACAGAACAGGATAACACCAAAAACCTCTCTTACTGCCTAGCCCCGTTTTCAAGGGACCCGAGAACGGACTCTCGACATTCTTGGGTCAGTTTTCCATTCAACAATCCAAAAGTTGATTGGTGTGTAAATTTTCAAAATTGGACAATTACCCATTTGGAGCAGGAGAGTTATGTCTCTATCCTATACTGGAAAGTAGCATACCCTACTATCCCTACAAATCAAGAGAGAGAATTTTTAAATGTTGTTTCCATATTTTTGAACTCAAAAACCATGTGGGCTAGGGGACAGTAGAGTGGGCCAAAAAACAAAACCATTCCCTCACCTCTCTTCCCTGTCCCCTCCCCCCCATTATCCAGGATACTTTATGTGTCACTAACAGGGAAAGGGGATACATTTGGGGCACCCTAAAGTAGCTCACAGCTTGATTAGTGTCAATCCCAAACTCCTAAGAGGCAAGACCACCTTGCTAGGATACTGATTCCAAATATCCACTTGAAACTCTGAATGCTTTCTTAGAGAAGGGGTAGTGTGTGTGTGTGTGTGTGTGTGTGTGTGTGTGTGTGTGTGTGTGTGTGTGTGTAGAAGTTGGCCTGGACATATCTGAGGGAGGGGGAGCAAAAGAAATATCCGATAGCTTTGCAAGGGTCCAACTTCCATAGCATAAAGCTGAAGCCTGACTGAGGGATTTAGAGTCATTGATTTAGAATTGGAAGGGTCCTCAGGGGTCATCCGATCCAAACCACCAGCATGGGAAACTGAGGCAAAGAGAGATTAAATAGCTTGTCCAAGGTGACACAGATGGCAAGGGCCAGGGTCGGGGCCAGGACTGAAATGTTGGTTTGTAACTCGGGTCTTTCCCATTTTACATTGTACCTCAGAACACAAGACTTGCCCTTTGAACTCCTCTATTGACACATTTCTATTAAACTGTGAATGGGTGCTAACAACTCCCTTCCCTTCAGCAAGCCCTTTTCCCCTTTCTCAGCCTTAGGAGACTCCAAACAAAGATGGTGGAAGTCTTGGTCAAGTCAAGTCAACAAGCATTTATTAAGTGCCTTCTATGTACCAGGCATCATGCTTAGTGCTGATATGAAAAGCTTCCCTTTGGGGGGTTGTTCATGTGGGAAGAGAACAATGCCTCATGCCTCCCATTCAACATAATCCTTCTAGAGCTAATATTCCACTCCCAATGAGAACAGGCATTCATAGGAAGCTTTACAAGTTTACAAAGTGATTTCCATCTATTTCCTTATTGGACCCTCTCAATCTTATGAGGTGGGTACTGCCCCATTTTATAGATGAGGAACCTGAAGCTGAGAGGTAAAGCAATATAATGACAGCAACTTGTAGAACACCATAAGGTTTGTAAAGCATTTCCCTTACAACCCTTGAGGGATTCCTGCAAGGTAGGTGCTACAAGTATTGTTATTCTCATTTTACAAATGAGGAAATAAAGCCCTAACAAAAGCAAAATGATGTAACAAAAACTCGCTTTTCTATGATGCTTTGAGGTTTGCAATGCATTTTTCACAAGCAGTAGTCCTAACAAGTAGATACTTCAGATATTATTATCCCCATTTTACATATCTGAAACTGAGGTTTTGAGAGGTTATCATTTTCCTAGGTAACACAGCCAGTAAGTATCTTAGGAAGGATTTGAACCTAGGTCTCCTGTACTTTCTATAACACCATACTACCTTTCGTGAAAAATATTAAAACATAAAACATGTGGCTAGTGAGTATCAGAACCCAGGATTTGAACCCAGATCCCGTGACACCTAAGCCATGATGCTGCCTCCAGCGTACCGAGCCTACCACGCTTATTTCCAATAGTCGGTGTTGATTAACTTGGTTTTTTTCCTCATTGATGTTTCTTTTCTTTTTTTTTCTCTCCTTTCTTTATTCAATTCTTCCTCTCGTAACTCATTTCTGATACTAACCTTGCCCTGTTGTGTGCTCTACACCCCCTCTGTTTATTGATGGAAACCATTCACTCAATGCTGGGTTTTCATCTCCCACCTGGCAGAGAATCACCACTTGTGTAAGTAGATGCATCTTTCTCGCTCCCCAAGTCTGTCCATTTGTCTGCCTGCCTGCCTGCCTGCCTGCTCCTTTGTGGTGATTGGGTAACTGTGTGGGGATTTGGTCTGGGGTGTTCCATGACAAGTACAGAGACAAGGTCTTGTGCACCAGCTCTGTCCTCAAGGTAGTTGTCACCCGCCGCCTGCTCCCTGACATTTCCTCAGGGAAATGGGAATGGTCACCTTCATCTTGAAGCCAGGCAGACTTTAGCTTGCTGGTCATACTGACATATTGTGTGAATTTCTGCCTCCATAGACTCTATAGAGTTGAAGGTCACGGTCTCCGTTCCCTCCAGGGGTCGTCCCTAAATGGGGTTGAATCATTGCCAGGTTTGTGTGAGGGGGTCAGAGCCTTATCCTATGAGGGGGCATTGTATCACATCCTGATACAATGGAGTGTGTTGTCTTCTCTGAGTCTGTTGCTGTTTCTGGATGAAACGAGGTATCCTTAGAAGGCCTTGCCTATTTGAGGCTAAGCTATCATCTTTCCCTGTGGGAAAGGGCTCTGAAGGAGCTAGAATGGTGAGGTCAGCAGAAGGGAAACTCAATAGACTGCCATCTGTAAGATCCTAGTAAGATCTTAGTAAGCAGAGACCTGGAAGAGACCTTATTTTCATTTTACAGAGAGACATTCAGTTTCCCAAGGTCACATATGCTTCAATTTAACACACCTATTGGTGTGGTAGCTTACAGTCTAATAAGGGGATACAATAAATACACACATAGCCAAAATCCACCTTGATTCATGGTAAGTGTATTGGAAGTATCTAATGGGGCAAGGAGTCCTTTACCAGCTGGGATCAGAGTGAGAGGCTCAGGGCAGATTCCCTGGAGAAGGTGATAGTTGAGCCACTTCAAATAATGGGTAGGAAATCAGCCAGGAGAATAGGGAGGGAAGGAAAGATTCAAAGATGAATCCCCTGGCTACTGCTTAGCATTAAAAAAACATGTATTACGAAGACCCTCATGTTCCCTTGTGATCAGAATGGATATTCTTGTTCTGTGGCTTGGAAACCATTTATTGAGAAGTGTCTGGAAGCCTAGTGAGAGGCCTCTGAGAACTGAGGGTTGAGTTGCATTGAGTTTCATTGAACTGAATTGGGCCCTGCCTTCATTGAACCAAAGGCAGGCATGGGGTGCTGCATGGAGTTCAGTGGTTGAGTCAGTGTCCCATTTATTTAGCCTTTAAGCAAAAAGCTTGATTGGAAGAGCCTAACAGGTAAAAACTAAGCCATGAAAGATGAGAAGAAAAACTAAGAGACCAGAGAGGTGAGGGCCAGGATGGACCATTCTAAGTGATTTTGAAAAAGCACTGAAAGACACAACTCTCTAATTATGAGTCTAGAGATAAGGTTTCCTAGCCCTGATAGGAACAGTTCCACCCCTGCCCTGCTGTGTGGTATCTGAGTTCAGTCTGGACTATCTGCCATCAATATAGACTAAGGTGAGTCAAGATCTTTCCTCATGTCACACAGAATCTGCTTTTTCTTCCTCTTTGTTTGGCTTCCACTTGGCCCCAAACATAACAATGATCATTCTGTGCCAGCCAGACTCAGAGCCAGCAGGAACATGAGGTATGTTCAGATGCCAGCAGAAAACCCAGCAGAAAATCCAGAGCAAGGCAGTTGTATCCCATTTTGGGGCTGAGCTTTCCTTTCCCAGCTGGATATTGGAGCTACTGCCCTTCAGTGCATACGACTAGGCCCAGCTCCTGGAGACCCATCTCAAAAGCCAAGTCTCATGGGAAACTCTGATGATGCGGAAGGCACCCTGTAAAGCCTGGCTACTTCCTGCCCCTCTATCAGAGTGAAGAAACCTGCTCATACTTTGACCGTTCCCACTAGGAGTCCAAGAGACTTCCAGATGTGTGCTGCCCATGCTGGCTCTTTGTTTAAGTAGAAACTGACAGTGTTGTGGATTCAAAGGACTCTACTCTTTTTCCAATGTGGTGGACATCCACTCTCTGGCCTAGCCCCCTCAGTGGCCATTGGTGCCATATTTCTTCCACACTCAGCCAAGTAGGACCATAGACACCCAGGGGATGACGGGTAGCCAAATCGAGACTCTTTGACTTGAATACAGATTGGCAATATCAGTAGTTCACTGAACAAGGGTAATCTTCCAAGCTTCTAGCCCTACTCAGCTCATGACACTTGGGGAATTTCCAAAACACCTTAAGCCCAAGAAGTCAGCAGACTGGTCAGGCCCCAACTCAGCCCAAAGGATATGCCACCAAGCCTTTCTATGATCCCATCCCTCCAATGAGCCATGGAGTACCACTGTCCAAGAGAGACAGTATAGAGAACTCTGACAATCATAGGCTCATAGATCAAGAGAAGAAAGGAAATTCAGAAACAATTTTGTCTAATCCCCTCATTTTCCAGTTAGGGAAACAGAGGATAAAGGAGGTTAAGCAATTTGCCCACTGTCACACAGGTAGTAAATGTCAGAGACAGAATTTGAACCCATGTCCCTCAATTCTGGAGCTGGTATTTTCATTGTATTGCTTTCTCAGCTTTTGCATTAGAAGCTTATCTCAAAGGGTAGATTTCTGCGCTCCCAGCAATTAGAAAGTGGAGAAACCAATTCATCAACATGATTCTCGCTCTAACCACACTCTATATTTTTCTAGCCTAAATCGCAGAGTGCAGGGTCACTTGTGTCAGGCAGGGCCACTTAAGTCACCATCAGACCTTTTTAGGCAAGACTTTAAAAACATGCCATGCCCTTAAAAGGGAGGTCTCCTTGCCACTGATGGGCAATCACCTCCTTTGATCAGTGTTTCATGCTTCTGGCTAAAGGGGGAAGGGAGGAGATAGCTTTAGTCTGGCTGTCTGGGTGTTCCACAGGGTGGCTTGTTCTGGTGAAGTGAGAGTCAGCATCAAGGCTTCCAAGGAGATTTCAGAGGGAGGGAGGGCCAGCTTCCTTCTTCTCCCCGTGGCCTTGTTTCCAGGACTGAACTGAGCAATACCCCATAACACCCCTTCTCTCCACTGCACCCAGTGACTGTTTAGCTTTCCAGGCTGCTCTGATCAGCTCCCAATAACTACATGGTGTTGGGTCTCGCATGGACTGAGCTCCCACAATGGGGAGTAGGAAAAAAAATTCTAAAAGGTGAGCAGGACTGAGCACCAATGACCCAGGCAGAGCCCTCCAGAATGCTGTCCTCTCCCTACGTGTCAATCACTTTGTAAAACTTCTTCACAAAATAATCCATTTTTCCACCGTTTGCATCTGGGGGGTTGGAATTCTTTCTTCCTTTTCTTAAAAAAAAGAAAGTGAAAGGGGTGAGCCAGGGTCATGTGTTGGACACAGCTCCAGCTCCTCCCGCCCACCCTCCTGGCTGGAGCCCTTTGCCAACACCCTCTTTCTGCATTGCAGTAGCATCCCCGTTAAAGATCTTGCAGTAGACAGTGCTTCCCCCGTGTATCAGGCTGTGATTAAAAATCAGAACAAGCCTGAAGACGAAGTGGACGAGTGGACCCGCCGCTCCTCCAACCTGCAATCACGCTCCTTCCGAATCCTGGCGCAGATGACTGGCACGGAATTCAGTAAGTAGCTCGCATGTGAAACGGAGAACCAGAAGGGGTCTTTCAGCCAGGCCAGTTCCTTCATTTTGTAGAAAAAGTAACTGAGGTCCAGAGAGGCTTGCTGATTTGCTGTGGATCACACAGGGAATAAGTAACAAAGGTGATATTTGAACCCAGATACTCAGATTCGAAGTCCATCACTCTTTCCACTACACAAAAATCAGGTGGGTACTTGGAGTTTGGCACTGAAAGTCATTGTTCCCATGCTGAGTCGCTAGCCAACAATTCTCCCTTCTCAGAATGCAGTCTTGCAAATACTGACTGGCCCAGGCCCACTGCTCCTACTTTGTTGTCCTCCTAGAGGGCAATTAGGGAGATTAGATGAAGAAAGCAGGCAGCCTGCTGGGCTCTTCACCCGGCCTCACCGGCGAGACAAAGCATGAAGGGACTTGTTCCCAGGCTGAGATGCTTCTAAGGAAAATCCCCCCTTAGTCATGGATTTGGATTCCCTTCATTTGACACAGCCAGATCAAGCTTGCACTTGTCATTCCTTCTCTTGGCCATGATTATGATGTCCAAAGCCTTGATCAACTGTACTGACACCAGGGCAGACTGTTGCTGCCTCCTAGCTAGATGCTGGAAGCCCTGGACCTATGCCGAACTCCACCACTGGGGACTCTTGCTAGCATTCTTTAATCAGTCATTTTTCTCCCCCAGCTGGTACACTGGGTTTTTGACACCCTCAATGCTCAGTTCTAACCCATTTTACCCATAGAGAGTGTTCTAGAATACAATGAGATAATGGTAAACTATCCTAGAGCAAATGTGATTTGTAAACCACTTAGCACAGTGCCAGGCATAGAGTAGGCACTTAATAAATAAATGCTTATTCCCTTCCCTGTCCCCCAATGGCAGAGCTAAAAGGGACCTTAGAGGTCACCTAATCCAGCCCCTTCATTTTATATAGACACAGGGGATAGAGCTCTGGACTTGGAGTCAGGAAGACCTGAGTCCAAATCCTACTTCTAACATTTATTAGGTATGTGATCCCAGACAAATGACTTAGCCTCAGTTTCCTCTTCTATAAAATCAGGATAATAATGGTACCTACCTTACAGGCTATTATAAGGATCAAATAAGGTAATAACTATAAAGCACATTACAAACCTTCAAAGGCTATCTAAATGCTAGCCATTATTACTAGAGGAAACTGAGTCCTAGATTGGGAGATTTACTGGCACAGAGTCACACAGCTAGATAGCAGCAAAGCAGGGATGACCACCTAGGCCTTGTGAGTCCACTGCACCACGGTGGTTGGGCCCACACTCACCTGTGGTTGGCTGGTTGGAGGTGATCAGAAAAGCCACAAGGTCACTTTCACCAAGTTCCCCACCATCCTGTGGGCCTGGTGGTGTCTGCCCAGGTCAGAAAGAGCCCAAGGCAGGCTGTGTAGGATTCATCTGGGTTCGGAGATTAGGATTCTTAACTTTCCAAATTTGTGCCAATTTTGTTCCCAGTGGATGCCTTTCTAATGGTGATTTTCCCTCTCATAGTGCAAGACCCTGATGAAGAGGCCCTAAGGAGATCAAGGTAGGCACCTGGAAGCAGGCTCTGTGATCTTCTCATTCCTGATACCTCCTAATGCTCAACCATTGCAGCTCCTTTAAAACCAGCTCACTTGGAAGAGACCTTTCTAACTCATTTACCTCCAAACTAAAAACCTGAAATATTCTTTCCCTCATTCCCTCATTCCCACCCTCCCACACCAATTGTGATGTTGTCTAGTGACAGTTGATCTAGTGATCCTGAAAAAGATGCCCCCATACCTTGTCTGGGGAGAGGGAAGGGGAATCCCACCCAACAGGACCAGTGGAAGCTAGAGGGAAGGCCCCTGGGCCTTGGGCAAGGATGTCAGTCATGGGATGCTCGAGGGGTGAGCTGTGGGTTAGGGAAAGAGACCTGCTTCAGGAAAATCTATTTTACACATCAGAATGACCTCACCAAGCTCATGGGTTTGTGCAGGAAGATGGAGACAAGAATATGTCTGTTTCCTACCAATGGATGGGTGAGACCTTGAAGGTTTGGGTAGCCAAACCTTTCTATCTCTCCCATCTTCCCCTCCAACCCCATACACACACACACACACACACACACACACACACACACACACACACACACAGAGTCTTTCAGATCCCAGGGCTATTCCATCCACTTTCTCTACCACGGTGACCATACCCAGCAGAGCCTTGACAATATTTCTAGTAGCAGAAATGAGAGCAAACAATTCTAAACCTGGTGGATTTCAGCAAAAGTGGTGCCTGATCTGAGATTATAATTCTACTTCTCCCTCGAGGCCTCTGAGAGCTATCAGCTCCATTGGTACATATTAAGGCAGTCACTTTCTCCTAAGAGAGAGCCCTGCAGGTAGCCAACTGCCTAAACAGGGTGGTCTTCGAGACTCTGGGCATAATTTGTAGAAGGATGTCTTCCCCAAGCCCAGGGTTGGCTCCTGCGTTATTGGGAGCTCGGCATTCATAACTAGCCCCACACTAGAACAGCTCGGAAAAGGGGGCATTTCAGTCACTGCCCCAAGTCACCTTGCTGTCCCCCAGGGAACCTGGGCCCAGCTATGATGATGAATGTCAGGATGGAAGTCAGGCGAATCCCACACCCCTGCACATCTCTCCCCTACTTCTAGCAGAAACTAGTTCTTTGAGGCTCCAAAAAGAGAGACTTGAGGTTTAGAGATTTAGAGCTGGGAGGGATCTTGGAAAGGCATCTGCTCTAGCTGCTTCATTTTACAAGTTGGGAAACTGAGACCCACAAAGATGATATGACTTGCCTGACTAAAGGTGGGATTGTTTTGGCAAATCATTTCTTCTCTTGGGTTCTTAGTTTTGCCTTCTGTAAAATGGGAGGATAGGATTAGCTGTCCACTGAGGCTCTTCCCAGTCCAGGATCTAGGATCCCATGTTCTCCTGTGCTGGGCTTTGAAAAGCTGACTTACACTGTCAAGTCACTTACGGTCGATTTCTTTTGAACCTGGATTTTCACAATCCTGAGGCCCTCCTTACTTTAGGATAGAACCTTTGTTGCTGAGAGGGGTTCTCTCCCTGAATACTGCCAAACCCTTCCAGTACCCACTCTGCCAGTCAGCCAAAGAACCCCAGTAATGATGGTGCCTATATCTGAGAGGCAGCTCATGTCCCCCATGAGTAGAAAAAGAGCTGGGCTTTCCATCAGCACCCAGGACCTGGCCGGCTGGTCAGCTGGGGACACCAGACTGTCCTCTAGGCCAGTGGTGTCAAACCTAAAGAGAAACAAAAGTCACTACACCATGTATAAGGATCCCTGCAGGTCAAATGCTGACTTAGAAAACCATACCTGTTTACGTATTTCTTTTTTTATTAATATATCAACACATTATAATCAGATAGGAACTACGTTTTAATCTGGTTTGGGCCACACTCAGAAGGGTTGTGGGCCGCATGCGGTCTGTATGTATGACAACTGTGCTCTGCTCTATCCCCTTTATTCTGTATATGCTTCTAGAACATGGGAGAGATCTGGTCTCTCCTTGTACCCTGAAAAGTTATCTGCATTCTCCCAAAATTCCCCTGTTGGCTGGTTATGGAGGCAGGAGACATCTAGGTCAGGCTATATCACTTCCATAGGGCTCCCTGAAGTTCCCAAGGCTTCATTCATTATCTGAGACCATTCCAATGATGGAAAGAATACTCTGTCTGAGTCTGGAGACCTGGTTTGAGTCTTGCCTCTGCTACTTACCACCTTTGGGTTCAGGTGCTCTGTGGGCCTCAGTTTCCTCAATTGTAAAATGACGAGAAGGCCTCTTCCTATTCTAGATCTATTCTCCTCTGACCTGGATTTGAATCCTGGTTCTGCTACTTGACACCAGTGTGACCTTGGGCCTCACTTCCAAAATTAGGCTGCCCTTGAAGGCACCTCAAAGCATTAAATTATCCTAACTAGGTGAGCTTTAAGGTACCTTATTGAACTAAATTCTGTGGTACCCCAAGAAGAAACATGTTTTTTGTTTTTGTTTTTTTTTTGCTGGGCCACACTGTACTAGGCCTTTTATCCCCATGACATGTTTGAAAAAGCAACCTAGACTATTGTCTGATCCCCTTTCATACACCTGTTGATATTCCTGCTGCCAATTGGAGAGGGACCAAGGGATGACCCTGCTGATGGTCAATATGTCTAGCTCCTTGGTACTCCTTAAGGGGGCTACACAAAACCGTTAAAAGGAAGTCTCATTCTGCTTCCATCCTTACTGCTGTCTTTTTCTGTTGCAAAGCCAGTGAGTTGTAAGGGAAAGGGTATTGGCCTAAGGTAAATGGGGTTTGAATCTTGGCCCCACACTAGCTAGCTATGTGGCATGGGGCCAGTCATTTCCCTTCCCTGGACCTTCTCATCTGTAAAATGAGGAGGCTGGTAGAAATGCTCTTCATGGTCCGTACCAGATCCAAAATTCCAGGTGGGTCATCCTGCTGTCTTCTCCCCCCTCCCTCCCTCCCTCCTCCTTTCTCTCTTTCTATTCTCACATATCTTAAACTTCTGGTCCTATGAGTTGAGTCCTACTTAACTCTTTCCTAACCTTTAGCATGTACCTTCCCCTGGTGCTGAGTGAGATCTGGAGGGGGCAGCAGACCTGGCTAGCTGGCCTGGGCTGTGCTGGGCACCCCAGGTGTGTTGGGGCTGGGGTGGTGGAACAGTAGTTGCCCAGTGATATTCTTTGTCTCTCAGAGGAGAGAGGGTCAGGATGTCCTCCAGCAGCAGCAGAGGTCAGCTTCAGGGACTTGAGGAAGCTACCTGATCAGAACCTTCTGCTAGGACATTTCCCAGGGCAGGGAACTTTTTACCTGGCTATTTCATCAGGGAAGAGAAACAGAAGTGGTATCTTTAGACTTATTGCTGGGTCCACATTTTTGGTGGCCCTGAGAACCTTGAGATCTGTCCAAACCTGTCAGGGCAAGACTGAAAACTCAGAAGTCCTGCCTTACCCAAATTGTCCTCTAGAGGACTTGAGAAACTAGGCTAGGAGAAGACTACAGATGACTACAAGATTCCCAGACCCCTCCAAACAGTGAGGTAAATGAGCTTGGATGACACATATCTTGCTCTCCCTCCCATCTTCTGCCCACTTCCATTCTCCTTCATCCCCATTCCCCACCACCAAGATCCTAGAGCCAATCATGGCACTCAGATTTACCATGACCTGAGATGACCACATGAGTCCCAATCCAGAGGAGACTTCAGTGAATGGCTTTCCAAGGTCTCCAAGGCAGGGTCAGATGTTCCAGGCAACCTCCTGAGGGAACGGGGGAGAGGGAGGTTGTGGTCCTAAGATACGACTTGCCCAGCATTCATCCCAATGTATTAGCCACCTCATTGGCTCCTAGTTACATAGCAGTCTCTCTTTGCCTAGACAAGAAACTCAGGGCCTTTCAGGACCTCAAAACTGGGAATCCATGTGGCTTTTGAAACGAATCTAAAATAAATTGCCCTCACTCTAGTTGTATGGCAGGGGAGTGGTGGACATACATGTTCCCTAACCCCTCTCTTTCTCCCTCCTCTCTCTCTCTCTCTCTCTCTCTCTCTCTCTCTCTCTCTCTCTCTCTCTCTCTCTCTCTGTCTCTCTCTCTCTCTCTCTCTCTCTCTCTCTCTCTCTCTCTCTCTCTCTCTGTCTCTTTCTCTCTCTCTCCCCCCTCTCCATTTCTCTATTTCTTTCTGTCTTTTTCTCTCTCTCCTTCCTCTCACCTTCCTTCTCCCTCTTTCTTTCTCTCTCTTTCTCTATGCCACAGGGAAAGGTTTGAAACGGAACGTAACAGCCCACGTTTTGCCAAATTACGCAACTGGCATCATGGCCTCTCAGCCCAAATACTTAATGTGAAAAGCTAAAAACATAAACCAATAAAAAAACCACAAAAAAAAAACCCTACTTGGAATCACCCTTCCCTCCCTGTTCCCCATAAAAAGGCATATGTAATATTCAAGAAGACCCACTGAGATGCTAATGACTTAACTGCTGTACTCGGCAGTCAATGTTGGAGATATCATATTCTTATTAAGGAGCAAAATTCTAGAGTCCTCCTCCCTGAAAATATACTGCCTACCTTATCTCCTCTTCAGTATAAGCAACTTTACTTCCCTTTTCCTGCCCCCTTGCAAATACTTCTGCTTGGACACAGAGTTGGTGTTTATTTTATCTTCACTTAAATGTAGCCTTAGCCTTCAGATGGGTGGAAAACTTAGATTTGCTATTTTAATGCACCAGGCGGGGGGGAATGAACAAAAACACAGTTTGTGCTCAGGTTTTCTTATAAAACATTGGCTTGTGAGAAAAGCCAGCTCCCCTAGATTCAGCTCAGCCCAGTGGGCTTAGCAGCTGTGCGTGTTGAGTGTTTCCCTCAGAACCAATGCTTTGGCTCAGGATCCGGGTTCTGAGCCCCTTGACAACCCCCAGTGAGCCCAAGGAGCTAACACTGGATCCCAAAAGCTCAGGGAAGCAGAGAAAGTTGGGATGAGATGATGCTTTCATTAGTGGAAGTTGAATAATCAAGAGGTTA